GGGCGAGATCCATGTGGCCTCTTCTGGTCCTTCTCCCGATGTGGAGACTGATGAGGATCCCTTGGGTGCAAACCCTAGCTTCCCTGCCAGCGTGTCTGAGTTGCATGGTGGTCCCTCGATGGCTACAGAGAAGAGCGCGAGCTCTGTTCAGCCTGTCTTGATTCCAACTGCTGGTCGGTATCCTCTTCCTGATGTGAGTATAGAAAGAGCTGCCTGGGGATTGGTATGGGCTGAACTGATTGTTCTTGTTTCCAGGGACGGCGGTCTGGCCTGCTTGCTTCAAGTTCTTAAGCTTCGGTTGAGTTGTCTGCTGCTCGTGCTGATATTCTGATTTTGCGTTCTTCGGTCGATGGTGCTTCCGATTCAGTCGGTGTTAGTCTTTCCAAGCGCTCTGGTGCTGGTTCTACGGGGATTTCTAGCTCGTTTATCGATAATGATAATAATGATGATGAAGACAGCTCTGTGCTTCTTCAGGAGGCGCCCAAGACTGTAGGTTCGCATCGCTTTTTCTTCCAATGTTTACCTGGCTGATCCGTTCGTTCCGGTGCCTCGGGAGATTTTTCAGGAGTTGGAAGTCCTTGCATCTTATTCCCTAAGCTTCTTCCCTGGGATGGGTTGCTTTGCAAGAGCGCTCCATTGCCAGTCTTAGGTGCTCTCATCCCCGAGTTCCAACTCGGGATGCCTTCCGAGGGAGACTCTGAGGATGGGCCACTGTTCTCGTCGGACAGCGGATGAGATTCTTGGTTTCGATTTGTGGCGTCAGGCCAGGGAACTGGATTCCATACGCCTCCAACGATGATTGTATTCATGATTTCCTCGTTGTTTCCGATCTCTGGAACGATTGGTACTGGCTGAGCACGAGATAGTGCTTCTGATGCCTTACCGCTGTTTGGGTTATAGAATTGGCTCTCATCGAATAGAATATTGCGTATGGTTGCAACTCTTGCAAGCGCTGGAAGCTACATGCGGTACAGGTTGCTTGCAACGTATTCTACAAGATAGCTCTTGTGTGCTCTTGGTTCTGTTTTCATATCCTGTTTATGAGAGCTAAGTTTGCGCTCTTCTCGCAGGATGTATGCCCGGCATCCATATGCGTAGATTCTAGCTCAGTTGGGCTGTAGGTCCGAGATTGCTGTTCTGACTATTTCCAGCGCGTACTAACGAAAGTACTGCCTGAACCAGCTATTCAGAAGTGAATTTGGCGTTTCGGAGTGCTTGAGCATGGATGGAGAGATATTGAACAGCCAGGTGGCTGCTTTTACACACTCTGGCCATAGGTCTTTCGGTAGTTTGGCTAATAACAGGAGAACTAGCGCACGCTCCTGAATTTCACGCCCGGCTTGCTCAGCAGCGCTATTTGACTCTTTCGTGCGCGGTGGAGTAATCTTCAGATTGATGCCGTTATTAGCGCACTATTGTGTGTATACTGTTTCGTATGGCCTCCTTATGACTGAGGAGTCTGTATTCTGTCTGATTTTGCAGATGAAAAGGCGATATTAGCGTTGTACCCAGGTCTCGAATAATCTGAGCACATCGAATACTGTGGATTGTGCCTTGTTAGATATCGGAAAGGCAAACAACTTGCTACTATACTCGTTTTTGAGTATGAGAGCTCATTTTGAGCTATTCTGCGCTTCGTTATAGTTGAGAAGATCCCAACTAATGCATCAGAACGGTTGAGGGCTGTAGTGTTCAGATCTTGCGCATCGAATGATCTTTGTGATGCGCTCTAGAGCACAGTATTCATAGTCAATTCGTCTGATTCCATTGATTCTGATATTACGAACTGAGTAGACGAGCTCCTTTAGGGCATTGGCACCCAGGTATCCCGATCTTAGATGCTAAAGATGCTCTGAATCACTTCTTTCAGGCGCCTCATCATATGAAGGACGAGGGTGCTTGTTTCTTTTTAGAGTTGAGAACACGAGAACGCCAGCCCAGCTGTATGGCAGCGTAGCTGGAGCTCGAGAGTAGGAAGAGTTTGCAAAAGGAATGTATTCGAAGAAGACTAAGTTGAACTCTCTGTGTAGATTCGCAATCACCGCGCTCTGTTCAAGCGTTCCTGAGCGCAGTGTGCTATCTTTGCTACAGTACCAGATCCCTTTCTCGTATAAGAGAGCCTCAGCGATTATGTTGACATGGAAGCCATCTACAACCGCCACACGGTTGAGGACTAGGTCCTTAGTGCATTCCCCTTGCCTCCCGTTCAGTGCATTTTTGAAGCGTCGTCTCCCGAATCCCCGTATTAGCAACGATGAGCTCTCTGCTTCCACAACTTCCGCATCCCTTAAGGGAGAAAAGATATTTGGCTCCAGGAGGTCGACGCTGTTGATGAGGTGTACAGCTCCGCAGTTATCCAGAACTGTGCTTTGGGAAAGGATGTAAGGTGTCTGAAACGGTGTTGAGAAGACTGCTGCGCTTGCTTGTAGCAATACTGCCTGATTGAAGAGTTGAGGGTTGAAGACAGCGTTTATTTGGAAGAACTGAGGATGCCTTGTTTCAGGCTTAAGGGGTGTTGGATCTGGCATTTTGACGTTGTGGTTGAGAGGTTCTAGCACTCGACAGTGCCTGGATAGAGGTTCCTGTTGTTCTTCGTTCTCTGTGAGATCCTCCCTGTCCAGCCTTGAGGAAGCTATCTAGTTCTGATAAGATCTGAACGGAGCTCCTGATAGTTTTTGCTGGCCAGCTTAGAGAGGATCTTCTTTCTTTGCTCGTCAGATGGGGCCTTGAAGATTGAGTCTGGCCTGATTCCGGTACAAGCATACTCCAGCCTTCCGCAGCTCATAGGGCCCCATTTATGCTTCCTTTGATACGACTCGCAGGGGCACTTGTAATCTCCCTTTTCGCTCTGGCTGGAAGATCCACCTTGTTTCTTCCCAGATTTTGTGCCTGAGTTGCCGGATTGTGGGTTCTCTCCGCCTATAGTAGCGAACACTATTGAGCCTTTTTTCTGCTCAGGCCGAAGTCGGTGGATTGAAGCGAGATTTCGTTGAAGCTGTTCGATAGTCTTGATAGGCAGACCATCATCAGGTGCTGTAGCAAGGAGATGTCGTTGCGTTTTGGCCCACTCTATCTGGAAGCGAACTCCAACAGCAGCGAGGAAGTTATCAGAGCCCTGAAGTCCCTCAACTTCGTCAATGCTGTAAACCCGAGCTAGGTTCAGGAGATCCTGGTGCTGCTGGCACTAGTTTTGGAAATCGGTGCCTTGCCTGGTGGCCAGCTCAAGGTGATGGCGGTACTGGAAGCGAACGACCTGTTTCATGCTCTCCTCGGACGGACAGAGGTCTTTCTTCAGGTTCCTGAGCACCTGTTGAATCGAGGGAGACTTCTTTCCTGAATAGATATGCATATGAGGAACGAGGACTGACGGAGATACTGTTTTCTGAATCCAGTTCCACATCCTCTGTACGTTCTGATAAGCACGCAACTGCTTGTTTTGACGAAGCTGAAAGCGTTTCATCTCCTGATCATAGAGGATGGCTTGTTCCTGGATAGAGAGTAGCTTGTAGTTCTCCGTTATGATATTTTTGCGCTCCTCCTCAAGATCCTGAGTGAACTTGGAGAACTCGAGGTCGAAGTCTTCAAGTTCGAGAAAGGGCGCATCTGGGCCATCCGGGTCTAGATACTCCCAAACACCCTTTCCCTTGCTCTGGGACTGCAAAATGCTGTATCAGGATGGAAAGGAGTAGGTGTCGGTGCACTTTACCGAGAGCGTGAGGTCGTCAGGTTCGCGCTCCATCGTGGGCTTTGATGGAGCGTGAGTATGACTGTTTGGGACAAAAGATGTGTTCTGAAAGAATAAGAAGTGAACGGCTCAGTCTGTTTCGATAGATAAGGGGAAGATTAAACCCGATTCTTGCGAACCGGGCTCATAACTAAGGAGAAACGTATGAGCTGAGCACGTGGAAGTGGCTGAATGAGTGTTGAGATTGAATCTATCTAATACAAAAGGAAGATCTTCTAAGTAACTAAACCAGGCTCTGAGATGGTTTATGAGGAGACCAAAACAGAGGGTTAGGGTTAAATATGCCCCATTTTTCACATATATTCTTCATTAGAATTGCCAAAGATTTTCTTAAAAGCTTTTTCAAAGCTTACAAAGAAATTAAATATATTCTTAGTACTCTGAGTATATATATCGGAATTATTCTAATGCTTCAAGTAGTTGCATAGAGAAAGTTTATACTAGATAAGAGCATTCTTTTCGAAACGAGTTTCTGCAAGAATAACTTTCTCAGATTCTATAGTAAACTAGATTGTATAATGCAGAAAGTATGCTCTGCAGTAGATAAGGAATCTATACAGCGTTTTTTGATTGCTATTATATATAGCAAGCTTATTCATCTTATATGCTTTTCCAGCATTATTAGTAATTTGTAATGAGCACTGCAGCAATCCGAAGATTCCTAAGTACACGAAGGGGTTTATGCTAACAAGAGCGGTGTCAAAGTGTCAAGTCCTTGAATACGGAACCGTACAAGTCCTAATAAGCGATGCAAGTGTTCACTGCCTTTGGAGCTACTCAGTGTATGAAGACTGAATACTTAGATTCACAACTGAAGAGCTATGTACTGAATCCTTCTAATGGTAATGACTGTGTTCTTATATATCCAGCTCTTCAGTATGGATTACTGTCTGGCAGCGTCTTGCGGATCACCGCGGTGATCCGGGTGAGCCTAGTGAGCCGCGCTTCTGGTGCTCCTAGTGATCCATCTCTGTCTCCTTCCTAGGTTATGTAATCAATGCTTTGTCAGAACGTTGGGTTCTTGATACCTGGTTCTTGTTGCTCGTGATCTGTTTCGTGATCTGCATGTTGGATGAGTTATAACATCATCTCCCTTCTATCGATTGTTGTTCCTAATGATCTTCCGTAAGTATTCTGGCAAGTTTTCTGTATGCATGATCTTGCCTTCCTAATTGAGATGTTGAGCAGGATTGAGAAATCTTTTTCCAAGAAAACTGAATAGCATAACCGTCTTTTCCTAGCTGTTGATCAGTTTGGTTTTGAGATTATGCTTTGCACCGCTTGCGCTTTCCGGGGCCTGGTATGCAAGATGATGGATGATGCAAAGCGTTGTTCTCAGTGTATCCGTTGTGCTCGTTCTTGTAATGGCTGTGGGATTCCTGTTTCTGCTTGTAAGTCCCCTTTTTCTCCTTTTCTAACCCCTTCGCTGATGCCCTTCTTCTTTTCTTAGTTTCGCGTATTATAGCAGAAGATAAGAGGCTGGAATCGAAGGAGCGGGAGGCGGAGGCAGAGTTGGAGAGAGCTTATCGTCGAGCGTTGGAAGTTCTTGACGAGGCGCGCGCGAAGATCTCGGAGTCCGCTGCCCGTCTTGCTCGCCTGCGCACCCAGCGTAGATCTCTTGCCTCTCGGGGCGCTCAAATGGTGAATGCGGGTCTCGAGTTCCTTGATAAGCTGGATGAGCGGGAACGTTGTAAGAAGGAGGAATGCAACCTTGCTGCATCGGTTTGTGAAGCAGTATCGGCTGAGAGTATTTTAGCTGAGGATCTCTTGTTTGATGGTTTTGACTGGAACTCTATTAATCCTAGTAGGGCTGTTGTGGATTATTCTGGATTTTTGGGTGAGATGGTGGGCTCTGAGCTCCTCTTCGGGCTGGAGCGGTTGTCTTAGGTGCTGGCTTTCTTTTTCCAATATTCAGCTACCTTTTCCTGAGCGTTTTCAACGTTCTTCCGTGGTTCCCATGAATTTTCGCTTGCTGGGTAACCTTTTTATTTGATGAGATATTCCCTTGTATTGTCTGTGCTTCTGTGCTTGAGAATCTTTTCTATCTCATACTCTGGTTTATTGTTTTCCACTTCTGCTGTGTTATCTGTTAGTATTTCCTGTGCTGCTGGTTCTAGCAGTAAGATGTGGAAAACTGGGTGTATCCTCATTCCATGAGATAATGCTAATTCGTAGTTGATCGGAGAAATCTGTTGCAAGATTTTGAATAGTTCCAACTTTTTGTAGTTGAGTTTATCGCTGAATCTGATTGTTTTGATGTTTTTTCGAAGTAGATAGGCCTTATCTTCCTCCTGTAGGATTAGTTTCTTAATCCTTTTGGAGTTTGCATATCGCATTATTCGTTCTTGAACGAATTATAATTCTAATTGAAGTTCCTCTTGAATTTTCTTAATCTTCTTAACTCTTTTATCCGCAGCTTCTGCATCTGCTCCTAGCAGTACTTCGTAGTAAGCTGTTGGGTTGTATCTATAGAGTACGAAGAATAATAACTTCTTCGTTATGCTTATATCTGCGCTATTATAAGCGAATTGTACGAGGAGCAATAGATTAATCCAGTTGTCCTATTTCTGGTTAATATAGTATTGAAAATACTGTTTGATAATCTGATTCATTCTTTCTGTCTATTCATCTGTTTGCAAGTGGAATGCTATAGATATTCTGTAATGTATTCCAAGCTGTTTTATGAGTAAAGTTCAAAATTTCGAGTTGAACTTTCTATCTCTATTGGAGATTACTTCTTCTAGCATGCTATGGTTAGCGATGATCGTTCTAAGGAATGCATATGCAAGTTCTTCTGCTATACTGCTTTCCTTGTAGGGAAGAAAGTAAGCATACTTACTCAGTCTGCAAACCACTACTAAAATGCTATTATATTGCATCTTAATTAAGAGTTCTTATAAGAGAGATAGCTTAATAATAAAGTCTAGACTAATGAATTGCTAAATAGTTGTAGATATTGGTAAGGAGTGCAGTAGTCTATAAGGCTTGTATTTTTCTGCCTTATTCTTCTTGCAGCTGTTGCATTGTTATAGAATGCTTTCAATTCTTTTTCTAAGATCTGGTAGATTCCAGTATTTTTTGATGCATTCATAGATTGCTCTGACTTTCTGATGCTTGTATGCTAGTGTACTGTGTATATTCTTGATGTAGTTATCTTGTTCGTTTGGAGTTATTGATTCTGGATCCTTTTCCGAGGGTTTGATCCTGAGAGCAGCATTCAGTTCTCTATGTATGTTGATGAGATTCTCTGACTCGTTTTGAGCGAAGATGTTCTGTATATTCGAAGAATCTGCATCTCGATGGTCTGATCTTCTGCTGAGAGCGTTTGCTTGTTCGTTTTCTAAGCCTTTGCAGTATACAATCTTGAAATTGAACTGTAAGAGGAATTCTATTCATCTGACTTATTGCTTATTCAAAATCTTAGTTATTATAAATGTAGTTAGATTCTTATAATCCGAGTAAATTATAATCGGGTATTGTATGCTAATAAGGTAGTATTGCTATTTCTCGAAAGCTTTTACTATTGCTATGAGTTCCTGATTAGGGATTCCATAGTTAATTTCCGGATTATTCAACTTCTTTGAGAAGTTGCTTATAATCCTTAGACGTTCTTGGTTGTTTTGCTAGCTAAGTTGTTCTCCGAGTGCATATTCTGATGCATTGATCTCAACTTCAAAGGGTTTATAAGGGTCTGCTTCATACAGAATTGGCTCTGAGGTAATATGCCTGATAATCTCATTGAAAGCTTCTTGCGCCTTGGGGTTTCACTCGAAGAGCTGCTTCTTTTTGGTGAGATTTGTAAGGGAATGTGCGATCCAGCTGTAGTTCTTAATGAACTGCTTGTAGAAGTTGATGTATCCGAGGAAAGATCTAACATCCCTAACATTCCTGGGAACTGGCTAATTCCTGATAGCTTTTACCTTGTTTTTCTGTAGCTTAATGCATTCTAGCTTGATTGTGAATCCGAGGTAGTTGATCTTTTGTTTGTAAAAGTGATTCTTTGCGGGTTTTACAAGGAGTTTTGCGTCTTGGAGCGTCTGCAGCACTGTTTCCACATGTTCCTTGTGTTCTTCAAGTGTTCGAGAGTAAATAAGAATATTATCGAGGTATGCGATGACGAACTGATTCAGATGCTTGCATAGAACGTGATTGATTATCTCCTGGAATGAAGCTGAAGCGTTTGTTAAGCTGAAGAGCATGATCAAATATTCGTAGTGTTCATAGCGCATTCTGAAGGCAGTTTTCCATTCTTCTCCTTTCTTTACTCTGATCAGGTTGTAAGCTCCTTTTAGGTTTAGAACTGTAAACTATTGTGCTTCTTGCAATCTATCTCGTAATTCCTTGATGAGTAGCAACGGATATCGGTTCTTGATTGTAATATCGTTGAGTTGCTTGTAATCAATACATAGCCTGAGCTTGCTGTTTTTCTTGGGTATAAACAGGATAGGATATTCTGCTGGTGATTGCGATGATCGTATGTATCCTTTCTTAAGGTTCTCGTTGAGATACTCCCGAAGTGCCTCTAGCTGTACCTTGTCTAGTCCGTAGATAGGGAAGAATTTGAGCTGTTTCCCTTCTTGTAGCAGGATCTCGTAGTTGTATGGGCTGTGTTCTGGCAATTCTGTATCCAATTCTTTCTGGAATAGTTTCTTGAACTTGTGGTATTCTCGTGGTATGTTCGCGAGTGTTGATTCTGGTTCTTGTGCTGTTTCTGCTATCTGGAGGAACAGTAGGTACCGTTGAGCGTGCTTCTTTTCTGATGGCGTTTTCGAGGGCCTTGAGCGTCCGCTCCGGGCCGGACCGAGCGCTCGAGGGCCTGGTTTCGAGGTTTTTCCCGTGTGAATCCACAATCCACTTTCTGAAGCCTTTCCTTATTGCTTCGGGGCGGACCGACTTGCTGAGAATCTCGCTTTCGTTGTTTTGCTAACCTGTTAGCGCCCTAGCACTGTTTGGGTTCGCCTGTCACTAGGTCCTTCTCCTTGAACTGCTAGCCCTGCTGACTTGGAGGTATGTGTGAAGTTGTGTGAAGCTTCTTTTCCTGAGTATTCTTCAACCACTAGCTTCGATCCTGCGCTATTGATTGTAACTATCTCTCTGGATACAGCTTGTTCCTATGAGATCTGGCCAGTAGCTCAATCGATTCGAGGATTGTGTTCTTTGAGCTATGGAAGCTCTATAATCAGCTTATGTTATGCTGTATTCGTGATATCAAAAGAAGCTCTGGTTGCGCATTCTTGGATCAAAACAGATAGATAATTAGTTTCCTTATTGATTACTCCTTGGTTGTATGCAACAGATTGTTTTTCTATAGTGCTGAGAGTATATGGGCATCTCTTCCATCTCCATTGTAGTTGTGCCTGATTAACAATGTATGGGAATATGAAGTTTCTCTGAGCGCTACTGTTCAATAGTATGCTGTACTTGTATCTTTGAATGTATATATCGAACTTGATGTAAGCGTAATCTATCTTGAAAGCTCTATATAGAAACCGTTCTAATCTGATCGTCTGCAGTTCCTTTACAGGCGATCCTGTTCTTTTAGGTTTGTTGAGAACTGCTTATTCTTCTAAGCCTGCTTCGCTGCTTCTTGAGCGAGCTTCTTAGCTTGTTTTTGCTCGTATCGTTATTATTCCTAGTCTTTCTTCTGTTGATGCTAGTTGCGAACTTTGTTATTAATGTGAATCGTACAGAGTATCATTTTGTACTGCTATCATTTTATCTTCTTGTTTACACATTGTATAGAGCAATCATCCGGTAGCTCGATGTATGCATTGTAGTGTTGTTTGTTGAGAACCTCTCTGAAGCGGAGTTCCTATTCTTCAACAGCCTGAAGGATTTGCTCTGGTTCTCTGATGGGGAACTATTCGTGCTGCACTTTGTCCGAGAAATGCATTCTGCAGCTATGATAGGTGCAGGAGATCTAAGCTAATTCGTGGTGTAGGTTGTGAAGTGAGCTGATCCAAGAGTTCTTATCTTCTCGTGCTTTGATGTTTTGCAAGGGAATGCAGGTGAAGAGCTCCTTTAGTCCTATCCTATAAACGAGATATTCAATCCATGTTGTTTCCTTGTTCCACCCAATACTGAAGGGAAATCTTCCTGTAGGTTTGTTGGGCATGTTGTTTGCGGGGAGCTTCTGCGGGCTGCTAGGTTGTTTGCTCTGGCTTAACCCTTCTATTGCTTGAGAAGCGTTCTCTGTATTGCCTAGATATTTGTATCAGTAGCTAAGAGGGTATTATTCCTTATCTATATCCCTGGTTATAGTGCTTGGCGTAGGCAATGAGGAATGTTGAAGGGTATCGTTGCTAAGCTCTTCTTTCAACGCTTGAATGCTCTGTTTCATGATGTTAGAACAGTTCGAGTTGCTACTTGTAGGAGTGCTGGGCGTGCACCCTCGTCCTGCTGTTACTATTTGTCTGCGGCATCTAGGTTTCTAAGGGAACTATTCTGAATCTTCCTTATTCGAGAGGTGTATTAAGCAGTTGTTGTTATAGCAGAATGTTCAGCTGAGACTTCCGTAATTAACAGAATCCAATACTTGCTCCGAGAGAGTGTTTTTGCTCAGTTGATTAGATTCCTATCGTCGAGCAACATTTACCTAGCATCCTTTCTGGATTAGTTGCTACTTGTTCTTCTGGGATTGATAGCAGTTGCATGCAATGTATTCTTGTTTATTGCAGTTATAGCAAGTAATACTGTTTTTCTTGCTATACTGCTTATTAGCTGTATTGAGTTCCATGGAATTAGCATGCATAGTGCTGCTCTGAGCTATACTGCTATATCAACTGCTATTCTTGTTTTGGAATTTCTTGCCCGTATTAGCTGAAAACCTCCAAGTCTAGCTTCCTTCCTTCTTAGACTTCTTCATCCATCGTTCGTATAAACAGTTGTTGATGCAGATAGCTTGATTGGAGAATGTTACAAAGTTCTCCAGCTAATCCTGCTTGGAGATTTCATCTTTAATGTTATTCTTGAGTTCCTTGTAATAGTATTCCATGAGATTCTTATCTTCCTACGGAAGTTGTGCTGAGAGTTGCTTAAATCTAACTGTATAGGCAGAAGCCAACTTAGTCTGTCTGAGGTTCATAAGCTGCTAAGCTGTAATACGTTCTTCGTTGGGATTACCAAAGATCTCTTTGAGAGCTTTCTCGAAGCTTTCAAAAGAATCGAATATATCCTTGGTACTCTGGGTACATACGCTGGAATCGTTCTAATGCTCCAAGTGGTTGCGCAGAGAAGGTTCGTATCAGATGAGAGCATCCTTTTCGAGATGAGTTCCTGCTAGAATAACTTTCTCAGATTCCATGATGAACTGGGTTGTATGATGCAAAAAGTATGCTCTGCAGTGGGTAAGGAACCCATGTAGCGTCTTCTGGTTGCTGTTGTATATAGCGGGCTTATCCATCTTGTATGCCTTTCTAGCACTACTGGTAACTGCAGAGGTGGACTGCGCCTGCTGAGCTTATTGGGCTAGCTGGGCCTGCTGAGCCTGTTGGGCTAGCTGGGCCTGCTGGTTGGCAATGGTAGCGCTTTAAGCCTGCTGTTGTTCGCGCAGATTCTGGATACGCTGGGTAAGCTGATACATCTGGTTAACCAGTTCTTCCTAAGTAGGAGCGCGCGAGGACGAAGGAGTTCCTGGAGGAGCTATCGTATTCCGTATTGCTCAAGGGGTAATACTGAACCGTTCTTGAACAAGAATTGTAAAAATGTAATGAGTACTGCAGCAATCCGAAGATTCCTAAGTATACGAAGGGATTTATGCTAACAAGAGCAGTATTAAAGTGTTAAGTTCTTGAATACGGAACTGTACAAGTCCTAATAAGCGATGCAAGTATTCACTGCCTTTGGGGCTACTCAGTATATGAAGACTGAATACTTAGATTTACAACTGAAGAGCTATGTACTGAATTCTTCTAATGGTAATGACCGTGTTCTTATATATCCAGCTCTTCAGTATGGATCACTGTCTGGCAGCGTCTTGCGGATCACCGCGGTGATCCGGGTGAGCCTAGTGAGCCGCGCTCCTGGTGCTCCTAGTGATCCATCCCTGTCTCCTTCCTAGGTTATGTAATCAATGCTTTGTCAGAACGTTGGGTTCTTGACACCTGGTCCTTGTTGCTCGTGATCTGTTTCGTGACCTGCATGTTGGATGGGTCATAACATAATTGCAGAGATAAACTGCATCTGCTGAGCTTGTTAAGCTAGCTGAGCTTATTAGTTAGCGATGGTAGCGCTCTAAGCCTGCTATTGTTCGCGCAGGTTCTGAATATGCTGGATAAGCTGATATACCTGATTAATTAGTTCTTCCTGAGTAGAAGCGCGCGAGAACGAAGGGATTCCTGGAAAAGCTATCGTATTCCATATTATTCAAAGGGTAATACTGAACCATTCTTGAACAAGAGTTGTCAAAATGTAATGAGCACTGCAGCAATCCGAAGATTCCAAAGTATACAAAGAGATTTATGCTAACAAGAGTGATATCAAAGTATTAAGTTCTTGAATATGGAACTGTATAAGTTCTAGTAAGCGATACAAGTATTCACTGCTTTTGGGGCTACTCAGTATGTAAGACTGAAGACTTAGATTAACAACTGAAGAGCTATGTACTGAATCTATCTAATGGCAAGGAACGTGTTCTTATATATCCAGCTCTTCAGTATGAACCGTAAGAGTCAACGGCGATAGTTGCGGTCCAAGGTTGCATCAACAGGACCGCTTGCGGTCCTCGCGGTCCATCCCTGCCTGGTGGAACTCGTAACCCTAACCCTGGATTACGTAATCCTTGTTGGTTGCCTGATGTTGAGTCATGACACCTGGTCCCTGCTTGCCTGTGATCTGTTCTCGTGACCTGCATGTTGGATGGGTCATAACACCTAGTGATCTGATAGTGCGGAGACGTGATGAATCACGAAGCGCTTAAGATAACCTGGCTACCCTGTAATTTAACAATGTATTAAGTAGATGGTCCGTATTCTGAACATCACAGTGGCGGTGAAAAGCGGCCCGTATGGTCCCCCCCATAAGTCCGGAGCGTATAAGAGACTGCATCGCAATCATTGCAACCACCCTTGCGAAGACAAGCCATTCCCCGCTCCTTGGTCTGCTTCTCTTTCTCCTGCCGCAAGAATCCAGCATGGACGAGAAAGCTAAGATTCTTTTCACAGTAACTTCCACTGGCGACTTCGTACATCATTCCCATAATGAGCGCTTTCGTGTGTGGGGAAACCCAACATTTCTCTCCGATGATTTTGCCAGTCAGGCAACAACGCCTACGCATGGGGGTACACCTGCTCCGGAAGAAGTCGATAAAGCCTTTTTACGCTTTACTGTCGACCACAGCATGAAAGACGAACGGCTTGGCTTTGTCTTTGGTCGTGATACAGCAACCTGTGATGTGTACATCAATACAGCTAGCAAACGGTTCTTCACAGTACAGTTCAATCCTGTCATCAAGAGTATTATACTAAAGAACCTTTCAACCTACGGTATCAACATGAGCTCTGAGCGGTATGGCAAAATCAAAATCAAAACTCAGCGAGCCCTCCTGCCAAATGATACGACGACAGTCTTCCTCCCTGATGACGTTGTTATCCTCGAGCTTGCTGATCATAGCAACGATCACTTGCAGTATCTGGAGCAGTTCTTTTCACGACTCAGCCGCGCTCTCCCAAGTCTCGGCACTCTGAATCTAGCATCTATCCCGCCGTCTTCTACAGTTCTGACCGCAGCTCAGGGAGCTCGGCATCCTTATGTATTTCAAGCCAAGATCGGCAACGGCGCTTTCGGAACGGTATATCGGGCAGTTCACTCCTATACCGGAGCTACATTTGCAGTCAAGGAGATCCACAAGCTTGGAAAACAGAGCTTGCGAGAACCAGCGATTCTGCAAAGCCTCTCTCATGTATGCTCCCATATTAATATTGCTTATTACCCATACTAATATTTTATAAAGCGCAACATTGTGAAGTTTATCGAGTTTATCTCGATGGATCAAGACAATACTATGATAGTTATGGAACTCGTTCACGGCCTCAACCTGGAGATATTACATGCACAATCGCCATTCACACTAGATGATACACGAGAGCTCGCGACTGAAATGCTCTTCGGTCTGGATTATCTTCACTCCAATCGTATCACGCATCGTGATCTAAAACCAGCCAACATCCTGGTACCTCAGCGCAATCCGATACATATCAAAATAACTGATTTCGGTCTAGCAGTTGCACGGTCTCAACAACTCAAGACAAATTGTGGCACAGCCCTCTACCTAGCTCCTGAAGTTCTCTCCGAGGCCTGCTACACTAACAAGGTCGACCTGTGGTCTCTCGGAGTGATTGCTCTGGAGCTCGTTCTGGGGCTGCCCGATTACCCAAAGGGTATCAAGAAGAAGCCATGCTGGACCGAACGGCTCATACAGAGACTCGACTACGCTATGAACATAGACTACTACAACTTTGTCAAGTCTCTGCTTCGAATCTTGCCGGATGATCGCCCTCCTGCTGATCAGATTCTTCTCGAAGACTCCTTTCTGAACAACCGGGATGCTTCCCAAACCCCCACTGAACAGTTCCCAACGCCTAAGCAGTACCGGTCTCAAGACGCTCCAAGCCCACCAGACTGGTACGTTGCGGCTTCAGTTTAGGTTTCGAGTCGTGATTTGCGCGCTGGCTTGCTAACGTCTCCTTACAGGCCGCTTCTTCACACGACCGAGATCTTTGCTTCTCCTAGCGACCATGCTGAGCCCTCTGGGCATACAGCCCCGCCGACCGAGATCTCCAACAGGCTGGTCCCTACCGAGATCCCCGACCATACCAGCCCACCGACCCAGGCTACACAGCCACAGAATGTCAACAAGCAGCTAGCAGCAACTGCATCCTACTGGATCCTAAGATCCGGCACCAACACCGTACTGTACATGGCACGGCCAGGGCGGGTGAATGTAACTCACATCTGTCAAATATGCAGAAGCGAGCGAAATCTTCCTTGGAGAGATATTGACAAGAGTCTCGGGAAGATAAACAGAATAATTATGCGTGGCAAAGGAGTTCAGGGAAGCTATGTAACCTTTGCCGATGCTTACAGAATTATAGCTTTCTTCCGCTTGAAAACAGATTTGGTAGACCAGCTGGTAAAGCAGGTGAAGTCAAGAGGAGGGAAAGTATTCATGGGGTAAGCAAGCTATGAGGGAAGAAGATCTTGTTTACAATATATAAACACATTTTGACTGAGTATCCCCTAATACCTCGATTCTCAAAAAGACATTCCTGCTCGGCTGTGGCTTGTTGCAAGGTGTTCCAAAATCTGAAACCAAATAGTCCTATGAGCAATATAGTAGAACTGTCGACCTGTTCACTTATAGATCTTCGAGGCATTCTGTCTCAAGGTGCCAGCATTTGTGTGTCCTAATGTAAATGCGAGTTCATAGGCCCACTCTGTCCCTTCTCGCGATGCTGGAAACCTGCACAGCTCTCTGCTGCTATGTGTCGGTGCTCGCGTTATGCTGACAGACAATGTGTGGGTGGAAGCTGGCTTGGTGAACGGCGCTATGGGCAATATCTATGATATTGCTTGGTTTGCAGGTATCGAGGATCCTCGCAAGCAATAGCCTTTTGTCGTTCTCGTCAAGATGGACAGCTACACTGGGCCCCCCTGCTTCCCACAGGACCCAGAGATCCCTCTCAACGTGGTCCCCATCTTCCTCGCATACCGCGACTTCCTCAAGAGCAATGCCGCCTGCTCGCGGACGCAGTTTCCACTAACGATTGCATTTTAGTCTCTTCTAAGCTCCTTGTTATGCTTGCGTGCCTTCCTGGCCAATCCTAGGGGGGCTTGTGCACCATCGGAGCTATTGGCACAGATGGAGAGAAGCTGGTATTGGACTTCGTAATAAGTAGCCTTCTCTCTCCTGAGCGACTGACTATGGCTAGAATTCTGTTCGGTGGGACGCATGGAAAGGAAGCCGGGCAGAGGTTGGACACCCGTAAGCTTCGTGCTTCACTGCTAATGTAGCAAAGAGAAGAGAAAAGAGAGAAGAGAAAAGAGAGAGGGGAAAGTGAACACCTCCTGTGCCCAACCAAAAAAGAACCTCATTGCTAATGTTTACATGAATGACAGGCTTGGGGTACTTTACTATCCCTAGGCCAGCTTCCGGGTACAGAAAACTGCGGGGCTGTGCCCGCTGATAACACATCTAAAATCTCATCATCACAATTGATCCTGTAATAAGCTCTGCAGTAATCCGAGGATCCTTAAGCGCACAAGGGGTCAAGTATCGGCTCGGGCAATACGGAACGGTAACTGGGTTCTTCCCACATGTGTCAAGGGACGAGTCTCTCCCCTCTACAACCCTAACCCTGGGTTATGTGAGCATGTCTGGGATTATCGGTGTTGGACCTGACAACGGGCGTTTCGTGACCTGGATGTCGGTAAATATAAGCTCAGCCACCTGGCCAGGATCGGTCCTGTCTTTCTCTTCTTCAGAATAACGGAGCCTTTCTGTCAGACTCTGCCCCCCCCCCCCTCGGGCGGCTCCCCAGAGCTTCATCATACTGTACACTTAATGCACGACACACCATGGAGGTCAGCAAGAGATTTGAGCTACTGGAACAGAGAATCAGGGAGATCCTCGGTCAGCTGCAGCAACAAGCAACAACGCTTCCTCGTGAGCCTACTTCGCGCTTGGATACGATCATAAGCTGCCTCGATAATTTGTCCAAAAGCGTACATCAGCTGAGGGAAGACTGCGCCGCCTACACCATTCCAGCTGTCTCACCGCCGGGGTCGAGGCGTTCCGAGCCCAGACCTGACTCCGCAGAGGACGAAAGGCATGAGCCAGGCGGAACGATGGCGCCGTCGACCGCAAATTTCAGCAGCAGCTCTGTGCTCTCTGTCGCCGAGATGGGATACAAACTAGTAGCGAGCCTCACGCAGTATGGTACCGACTTCTCTGGCAAGGTTCGCATTTCAGGCCTCGGGTCTTGTGATCTAGCCAGTATTTCGAAAAGGCTTGTGGATCCTCACGCAAGTTCAACTCGTGCTGTTCAACATTCTTCCGCCTCGGCAAAGGGTGTTTCGATCCTTTCTCTATCGTGGAACGCAAAGTTTAGATTTCCAGACTTCTCGGACCTTCCGCAAACGCCTCCGCACAAGTATGACAAAGTCTTCGAGACTGTCATTGCTTCCCCGCCAAGAAGGCCTGTCGTTTATTACGTTGGGTCCCCTCTTGCACCCGATTTCGATACCCTGCTCAGCCCTGGAAAACTTCTTGAACTTGGCAACATTCCTAGCATCACTACGCCTTATTGGCACGCTGGCGAGAAGAATTCAGGGACAGCTTTTCACTACGAGGACGGAGCTGTGCGGTCCTGCAATGTGACTCTCCTCGGATTCAAGCTTTGAGTTCTCATCGACATACATTCCAATGCAAGCTTCGAAAGGTTTATTGAAAGTCTTTATCCCTTAATCACCAAGTCACCCCGGTGCAGCCAATGGATGCGACATCTCAATCTACTTGTCTCCCCAGAAACACTCGCAAGGATAGGCATCAACTTTGAGCTCATTCTCGCTGGCTCTGGCGACATGGTGATTACTGCGCCAGGCTAATACCATGCAGTTCTGAACCTAACTTCATGCTTTGCGATCTCGATCAACTTCGGGCTGCCAGACGATCCTATTCTTTCACCCACTTTAGTCTGTTCCCAATGCGGGCTCAAAGGACTCGAGCACGTTGCTGTCCAGAAGCTTGGCAGAAAAGAACAGAAAGTATCAGCTGCCACCGATGCTAGCCCGCAGCTAGAGCCTTCAAGGACACTGCTGCCACAGCAAGCCAACAAACAGATAAGCAAGACAAAGCTGACATGTTCAAAGAAAAGGCAGCCAACAGCTGTATGTGAAAGCACGGATCTTTCATCGGACAGGTCTGCATCAGGCCCAGCTTCTCCAAGCTCGCCACAGCTGGATTTGATGGAGATCTCCGATGAAGGCGAGAGTGAGATTGATGAAGATACCATCAAGACTAGTTCACAAGAGGGGGCTGATCAGGACGAGGCTCAAGCTGCTGATTCTGCTGCCGAAACTTCCGTCGCTTCGTCTCACGGCATCTCCACCGGTGAATCCTCGGACACTCGCCGTTCGTCGACTGAAGGGCCTTCTGCAAATACGCGGCCGGCTTCACTTCCTACTCCAGTTACCCCATCTCCGACTATATTCTCCGGCCAATATTCTGCACATTTCACAACCTCTTTCCTTGCCGGCCATCAGTCTCTGAAACGAGTGTTGACACACCCAGATGTCTCCAAGCGGCCGAGACTGGACTTAGCATCCGCTGAGGAGCTTTTGCGCGCAGATCAGCAATGCAATATCCCCAGCTTTAACAAGATGGCGCCACCTCATGCACACCTTCTAAAGCTCGCAACGGCAGTCCGAAGTCGGTATGCAGTGAAGCAATTCTGCGATCTGGTCAGCGCAAAAAGAAATCTGCAGCTCCAAAACATCTTGTTTCCAAGATCTCATGGAGCTAACGCAGAACAGCGCCTAAGGATCTTGGATGAGCTTCGCAATAACAAAGTTATCACACATCTCAATCAGTATCTCTTCGCTGCTGAAATCGAGAAGTCAAGAGATGGATCATACAGAGTGAGGTCTAACGTCAAAGAGAAGGTCATCCAAAACTCAGGACTTACCGTCAGCCAATACGACTATCATCTCCGGCTAGGCAAAATATGGCGAGGAATATGCCGAGGCTTTGAAGGCATGCTATGCTTTATCCTCTCAGATAAACATAACCCTTTCCAAGTCTCACCTGCAATGTACCGCAACATGGACAGTCAGGAGCTTCGACTGTTCCATAGCCTGCTTGACGATGATTATACCCGTGCAATCTGCATAGCAGGAAAAGCTTTCCAGCAGTCTTTCGTCACTCATGATGCTTACTTCGCATGGGAAACCAAAGAGTTGAGCAAACCTCTTTACGAGCTGCCAGAAGACGATATGTTGTCGTTGATCCAGCCAGTCCCATCGCTAATGAAGGACTACTATTGTGCAATGGAGTTTTCAGATTGGCCAGATCCAACTTTGTTGGCGCCTACAGAGAAGCAATGCGACTACTGCACATCTTCCTCTTGCAACTGCTACTCGTCTGTGCCCGATGCAAAACCCCGGATCATGGTGTATCCAGGGAAGAGGCTTGGCTTACAAGCTATTTCAGCAGAGCCTAGAGCGACTATCTACCGGAGGCATGATCTTATCGGTTTCATTACAAGCAAGCTGGTTCCTCCTAACAGCTTGAACAATAATCGTGTAGTTGATTTCTACAAGTGCCAGATTGACTGTCGCAATGAGGGCAATGTTTTCCGTCTTCTGAACCATACTTGCGCAAAACATGCTGTTGCATGTTTAACAGCGAAAAGACTATCCAGCCGGTACAGGCTAGCTGTTATTGCTTACAAAAACATAAATAATAGCGCAGAAATTACGATTTCATATCAACCGGAAAGACCTATATACACATATGAAATATGCGAAAGCGCATAGTGGCATGAAGAGGACTCTGAGAAGCGTTGAAGAAAAAGCGAGGGGAAACTTTCTTGTGCAGGCGCTTAGGAATAAATGATGAGCATACTCCTGATTATATTATTCTAGTTGAATTACTACTTTCGAACCAGCATATGGCCCGGTGGCCGAGAACTCTCACTTTTGCCAGCCCTGCATAGTGTATTATCCAGGCGCAGATTACGGATATCCTTGATCAATTCGTCGCTTTCACAAGCATCCGGTACTTTCTTTTCCAGCTTGCTCTTTTCACAGCAACAGACATTATAGCAACGTACAATTTTGGCATTCTAGTCTGCCTTATTCCTTTGCAGTTCTTGTTCTCCGCTTCGCATAGCCCATTGCTCTACTGAGGTTCGCTTCCAGTCTGCAGCATCGATCTTCACATATCGAACCTTGTAAAGCGAGCTTTTATAGACACGTCTTTCCGATACATATGTATATTCTAGGAACTCGCGAAGATGATTATGTGAAAACGTTTGGGACGGATGCGTAGGATAGGGTGGGCTGGGATGCGGGGTAGGCGATCTGGCGGCTGGCACCGAAGAACGGCAGTCGTCCTGGGTTCGGAGCATAGTAGGGCGATGAATTGGCCAACAAGAAGAAATAATCATGCTCATAGCTTAAGTTTGGTGACTGAGGATAAAGCATGCGAAGGCTCTATCGAGTCTCTGCATAGAGACCAGCCGTTTTAAAAGATGTATGCTGCAGGCTACTATACTAATTCATATCTTGAGACTCTGCTTTCTTGTAAACCAATTCAGGATCTCTAATTTCTGTTTCCGATAAACGGATAATATTGCATTTAAGTACCTACAGTAGATATCTTTCCAATCTGATTCAGAGCTACTGCAAAGCCTCGCAGATCCTACTGATAAGTATGTAGAATCCGCATTAATTCATGAGCACAAAGAATATTGATACAAGAATCTATATTCATTTCTCTAATTACTTGTTACAGCTAAGCATTTATATTCAAGAAGCCTTGATCGATTAAAATGTTATTATTATTCGAAACATTTCTGTAATGCGGATTATGCTGAGAATAAGCATCCCGCTAAGCTCGGAGCATTTCAAATGCATGCTTTAAAAAGAGCATCAGGAGCTTGAGCAAATCAGCTGGGACAGCTAGATGAAGTCCATCTAATCTGCATGCACTATACTCCCATATCTCCTTTTAACAGCTTCAGTAGCACAGCAGTTTAGGTATATTTCTTGCGAGAGCTTTTCGCCGATGACAGCAATAATTTAGCAGTGATCTAGCAGCTATAATCTTAGTTGTTTGTCAGGAGTGGCGCTCCCGCCAAGGCGCCTTCGGAGCGCTAGCAGATCACGTGCCACTCTCTCTTACATAGCCAGCGTATCGCCTTTTCAATTCTGTTCCTGCACTCAGCAAGAATTAGTCTTGATACAATCAGAAACCTACCAGCCACCTCTTCAAGCCTGTCTCCTGCTTATGTTATTGTGATTTCGCCTAGCTTCCGTACCAGGTGTTCTGATACCTGGTGAGCTGTGCTCCTGGTGATTCTGGTGATTCACCCTTGTAACCCTAACCCTTGATTACCTAATCTTCCCTTAGGTGCATCCGTGCTTTGGGTTGTATTCCCTGTCTTCCTTGTTGGCGGGGCTTGTCCTGTGATCTTAAGGAGAAACGTATGAGCTGAGCACGTGGAAGTGGCTGAATGAGTGTTGAGATTGAATCTATCTAATACAAAAGGAAGATCTTCTAAGTAACTAAACCAGGCTCTGAGATGGTTTATGAGGAGACCAAAACAGAGGGTTAGGGTTAAATATGCCCCATTTTTCATACACCCCCCATCTGACTGGTCAGATGTGCCAGAAAAGTGGGTCTTTTGTGGGGTCCTCGCAGATGCGTTTAAGCTTATGTAGGCGCGTTTTACAGTTGCCTTGCCTCCTTCCAGTTCTCTTTCTTTTTCAACCAGCTCTTTTTCCATCTGTTTTCAAGGTTTTTGAAAGCCTCCGTGCGTCAATATGCCTCTTCTAGTCACTCCAGATTTCTTGTTAGGCGAGTCTGATGTTTCTGTTCCTCTTAGCGAGCTTAGTATAGCTGTTTCCGATAATAGCGACTCTGCTGAGGGCGAGATCCATGTAGTCTCTTCTGGTTCTTCTTCCGATGTGGAGACTGATGAGGATTCCTTGAGTACAAATCCCAGCTTCCCTGCTAGTGTATCTGAGTTGCATGGTAGTCTTTCGATGGCTACAGAGAAGAGTACGAGCTCTGTTTAGCCTGTTTTGATTCCAACTGCTAGTTAGCATCCTTTTCCTGATGTGAGTATAGAAAGAGCTGCTTGGGGATTGGTATGAGCTGAACTGATTGTTCTTGTTTCCAGGGATAGCGGTCTGGCTTGTCTGCTTCAAGTTCTCAAGCTTCGGTTGAGTTGTCTGCTGCTTGTGCTGATATTCTGATTTTGCGTTCTTCGGTTGATGATGCTTCTGATTCAGTTAGTGTTAGTCTTTCCAAGCGCTCTGATGCTGGTTTTATAGGGATTTCTAGCTTGTTTATCGATGATGATAATGATGATAATGAAGATAGCTCTGTGCTTCTTCAGAAGGCGCTCAAGACTGTAGGTTTGCACCGCTTTTTCTTTCAATGTTTATCTAGCTAATCCTTTTTCAAGCTTCCGGTAGCCTTTCAAGTTCTGAGCTAGTTGCAACAAGGCTTGTAACCGAGCAGGGTATAGCTTGTTTGAGGTTCTAGAATGCGTTGATGCAGAAGCTTCAGCAGAAGCGCTTTGATGTAGCTGCTGGAGATGCTGCTAAGTTGAGAACTCCTTAGTTGCAAGCTAAAAAGACTTTTCTAGTAGCTATCCCTTCTAATACTCCTGCTGCAGATTTCTTGAAGAGCTAAGATGATGCTTTCTGGAATGCTATTTGCAATATTCTATGCATTAGCTATATTAAGAGTCTAGCTACAAGCAGCTCTGATAGTTTCTATCATAACTAGAAGAACTTATCTGCTGCTTGCTATACTCAGTATTCGAAGAGTTATAAGTATATTCCGATCTCTTTCTATCTTATACCTTTTGTAAACAAGCTTTATATAGCTAAGTATACACTTGCTTCTGCTAAGGAGATGGATGCTTCTATGCTCTCAAAGAAAAGAATATATGCTAGAGTGGAGAAGAAAAACTCCACTCTTAACCTTGCTCCTCTGGAAACCCGATCCAAGCATGCTATATAGGCTTAGAAAGCTGCTCTTGAGCATTTTGAAGCGGGCAAGTTTTCGGAGGTTGATGAGCTGCAGAAGCAGATTGAGATGCTTACGGAAGAGCATGATATGCTCCTTGCTAAGCAGAAGGCTAATCATAAGAAGGCAGTTTCACGCTCTGCTAAGGAGGGAAAGGCTGTGATTTCGGCTAAGAAGAAGAGAAAATAAGCTGCTATTCAGTCTATCTCGCACTCTGTTGATAATCATTCTGTTGAATCTTACTGTAAATAGTATCTAAAGTATGAGAAAGCTAAAGCTGATATTAAAGCAGTACTAGCTACTCTTTATCCCTTACTTAAGGAGTGAGCTCTGTTCAGGCTTAGGTATGCTTTAAGCTTTGGTAGATGATTGAGTTTTTTGTGATTAAGTTCTTTGGTTTGTTATTTGATAAAGGCTGTATGCTTAGTTTGTATATTTCTGAATGATACTTCTGAGCTATAAGCTCTCGTTTTTGATTTTGATAAATGAAATTCAGTGATTGAGAGCATTCAAAAGGAGCTAATGTGAGATTGAGTTGCTTATCTGTATTTCTTTAGATTTCTTCTTAGTTCTCTGATTCAAAGTATAGCTGATATTTTGAAGATTGAGAAGCGCTCTGAAATGTTCGAACTGCACTTAATTGAGGTTCTTGGTTAGTTTATCAGCTAGCATGCTTTGTATTAGCATATATGAGATCTGGAATTTGCTCTTTTGGAATTCCTGCTTGAGCTATATTTGGTATATATTCATATAGCAGAGCTTTATATTTATCCTTTCATGCTCTGTAACTATTAGCTGTATAGCTTGTTGATTATTATAGAAGATATTTCAGAGCTTGCTGAGGTTTAAGATAAGGTTTCGAAAGAGGTATTGTAAAGCGATTGTTTCCTTAGCTGTAGCTGAGAAGGCGTACAGTTCAGCCTCTGTAATTGAAATGGTTACCAGGCTTTGCTTTATTGCTTTCTATTATATAGAATCTCTGAATAAGCTGAAGATATATCCTTGTAAGGATTTTCAGTTCTTCGCATTGTTAGCAAAGGAAGTATCTTTAGCAATTAGCAGAGCTTGAGCTTCAGAGTAGCTTCCTTTGTACTGGATTGCTAGAAATCTCGTTCCATACAGATAACAGATTACTCTGTCTGCTTATTCCAGATGCTTTAGCTCTGGATTTATTAAAAATCTGAAGAGAAGAGTATATGTAAAAGCTATATCTAGTCTTATCATAATAGCAGTATATAGAATCGATCTAATCTTCTTTTAATACTTCTTGATTTAGTTTTTTAATGCTTCTTCTTTTCATTTAATAAGCTTTTTAAGATTCAGAAGCATTAGAGGTATTAAAGCTATATTAGCTGCAAGGCTAAACTTGTTAGCTATTTTCTCGATATATGCATTATAGATCAAGCTAATCATGCAATTAGCTTTGTTTCTAATGATTCGAACTCTCAAGAACCATTCCGCTGCTCTTTAATCCTTTATCTCATATGCTTTAAAGATTCCTTTCTTTACTCTGCATGCCTTTAATGCTTAGTTCTGCAGATAGAATAGCAGAATATTGTTTATATAGAACAGAATGATTAGCTTGTTTGCTTTGTTAGTAAATATGCAAAGCTCTTCAGTTGAAAGTATAAGGCCGAGATTTCGCAGAGTTGAGCAGAAGTGCCTGTATCAGAATGCTAGCAAGTTTCTCAGGCTGTACAGTGCCTTTTCCAGAAGCACGATTTTCCCTTCCTCCTTGAATCCATCAGGCAGCTTATAGAAAACGCTTTCCTAG